TTTATCTTCCCTTTTGTGTAGGCTACTTTGCATCACAGTGGCAGACAATGGTAGTGTGCAAACTTTTGGGACAATGCTTCTAAAAAGAAAGAGGACACATTTGTGAGTAAGAGTCTCCCTCACGTGGCCATAATGAATTTTGCACTCACTTGTATTTTTTAGGTGGTCTCACTTTTTTTGTCAGCAATAGGCTTCTTTTGTAGGTCTCAGTAATGATCATCTCAGTAGTGATGTTCAGATGTTCCTATTAACTCTTTACATTTTTTGTACACAGATTACGTAGGTTAAGTTTTATGTCTAGATTATCCTTTTTTTACTTAATAAAACAGACAAATTTCAATTCATATTCAAACTTCATTATTACAATGCAGTAAAAAGGTTATACATCCATAAAGTGTGAACCATACACTCTTAGAAGAAATGATTCTATTTAGAACCAGAAATGAACCTGCTTCATGTATGGAACTCCAAAATGGTTCTATATAGAACCATTTTTTTTTTTTTGGTAAAAGGTTCTATTGGCCAAGTATGGAACTCCAGGGTTCTATATAGAACCCAGAGGAACCTTTTTTTTAAGAGTGTAGAACTGTTTAGGGGTTCCAAATACGTAGCGCTGATGGAACCTTTTAAGGTTCTATATAGAACCTTTTCTTCTAAGATTGTAGGCTACAGCGCACATCGGGTTGTGGTCAATGTTTTTTTTGCAATAATGTCCTGTGCCACATGGGCTCAGACTGCGCACATTAAACAGTAACGTGACCAGTTGGGCGATTAGCCTACATCTTTGGTTTATAATTTCACATTTCAAATATACAAAACAACTATAAGGATCTCTGTTCTTTTATAGACTATATCTTTTGTGATTTTAAAGCTGTCTTTTGCCACTAAAGCACACGCGCGTGCACATTTGCGGTTAGTTGTTCGTAATTCAATTTTATGTTACCAGTGATGCAGAAAGAGATCTGCACAAAGAAATTCAGGCGCTGTCCACATGTGGTACTGTTGCTGCAGTATTGATGAGCGATTTCCAGAGTGATGGATGAACCAGAAGTATTTTATATCTCCTCCTAAACTCTGTATTTAGGACCGCCGAACGTAAATCATTTTTTTCTTTACAAAATTGGATTTTTTGGGCCAACATATAGGAACATATGGACTTATTATAATTATCGCAATGATACACGAACGCAACTTAGCCTATTAAACATGCAATAATAAATAATATAGGGGCAACATTCAGATAGCATACCGCAACTACAACCCGAATTCCAGAAAAGTTGGGACGTTTTTTAAATTTGAATAAAATGAAAACTATACGACTTTCAAATCACATGAGCAAATATTTTATTCACAATAGAACATATATAATATAACAAATGTTTAAATGGAGAAATTTTACACTTTAGTCCACTAAATGAGCTCATTTCAAATTTGATGCCTGCTACAGGTCTCAAAATAGTTGGGACGGGGACAACAAATGGTTGAAAAAGCAAGAAATTTAGAAAGGATTCAGGTGGGAGAACATCTATAGCAACTAATTAAGTTGATATCAGGTCTGTAACATGATTAAAGGGATGTCTTAGAGAGGTAGAGTCTCTCAGAAGTAAAGATGGGCAGAGGCTCTCCAATCTGTGAAAGAGTGCGTAAAAAGATTGTGGAACACTTTAAAAACAGTGTTCCTCAACATCAAATTGCAAAGGCTTTGCAAATCTCATCATCTACAGTGCACAACATCATCAAAAGATTCAGAGAAACTGGAGAAATCTCTGTGCGTAAGGGACAAAGGCGAAGACCTTTATTGGATGCCCGTGGTCTTCGGGCCCTCAGACTACACTGCATCACTCATCGGCATGATTGTGTGAATGATATTACTAAATAGGCCCAGGAATACTTCCAGAAACCACTGTCGGTAAACACAATCCGCCGTGCCATCTCCAGATGCCAACTAAAGCTCTATCATGCAAAAAGGAAGCCATATGTGAACATGGTCCAGAAGCGCCGTCGTGTCCTGTGGGCCAAGGCTCATTTAAAATGGACTATTTCAAAGTGGAAAAGTATTCTATGGTCAAACGAGTCCAAATTTGACATTTTTGTTGGAAATCACGGACGCCGTGTCCTCCGGACAAAAGAAGAGGGAGACCTTCCATCGTGTTATCAGCGTTCAGTTCAAAAGCCAGCATCTCTGATGGTATGGGGGTGCATAAGTGCATACGGTATGGGCAGCTTGCATGTTTTGGGAGGCACTATGAATGCTGAAAGCTATATAAAGGTTTTAGAGCAACATATGCTCCCCTCCAGACAACGTCTATTTCAGGGAAGGCCTTGTGTATTTCAGCAGGACAATGCAAAACCACATACTGCAGCTATTACAACAGCATGGCTTCGTCGTAGAAGAGTCCGGGTTCTGAATTGGCCTTGCCTGCAGTCCAGATCTTTCACCTATAGAGAACATTTGGCGCATCATTAAACGAAAAATGCGTCAAAGGCGACCACGAACACTTCAGCAGCTGGAAACCTATATAAGGCAAGAATGGGACCAAATTCCAACACCAAAACTCCAGACACTCATAAACTCGATGCCCAGACGTCTTCATACTGTTTTGAAAAGAAGAGGAGATGTTGCACCATGGTAAACGTGTCCCCGTCCCAACTATTTTGAGACATGTAGCAGGCATCAAATTTGAAATGAGCTCATTTAGTGGATAAAAGTGTACAATTTCTCCGTTTAAACATTTGTTATGTTATCTATGTTCTATTGTGAATAAAATATTGGCTCATGTGATTTGAAAGTCGTATAGTTTTAATTTTATTCAAATTTAAAAAACGTCCCAACTTTTCTGGAATTCGGGTTGTATTTAATTCAGTCTCTTTTTCTGATCCTCTGTTTGTTTTCTTTCACTCACCCTCGGCCTGGCTGTCGTTTCATAAGTATTAGCCTATTATTCATTCATCACGGCTTAGATGCTCGACTCCACGAATGAATGTGTTTACATGCAAGTAATGATTTAAATACGCCGTTAGTTCCTGCTGCTCCTGCAGGTGGCAGAGTTGCTCTATATATGCCATGTCAACTCTCCTCTTGCGCCATATTATGTTCTGATCTTTTCGTTCTTTTAACAAACACTGGTTGCATAGCAACACAATGAACCGAGACATGTTATTTTTTTAGTCAGTAGCAATTTTATCATTTCAAAGTGGTCACTTCATACCAATTACTGCATACTTCTGATACGAGAGTAGCTCGCCTCGCACAATTGTGTCCGCGCGTGCTGATCTGTCAAGGCTCGTGCGTGATCTGAATAATGATGACAGTTTATGTGATGCATTACTGTTCTGCATTGAGCGTCTACGAGTATTTAATGCAAGTTATGTAGTGTACATTTTCCGTTTTATTACGCCTACATTTTTGTAAAAGGCCAGGGCCATGGGATTCGATGTGGATATACCGGTAGATATATTTCATTCCGCCAACATCTTAAAATGTTATGTCGCCATGTGTTATGTAACTGCTGGGGCAGCACTATGATGCCTTGCTCCTTTAGTACGACTTATTTAATTGTCCAGGTTATTTATTCTCTCTGTTTTTTATTTATTTGGTTTTATTATTAAAGACAAAGTGATGCGCACAGGCTATTTAATACAGTACAAATGCTAGACTAGACACTCTTCTTCGCTCCTTAAATAGCCTACATAAAGCAATTTAGCTTTTAATATGGTGTTTCTTGAGTAAAGAAAACTTTGTACTTGTTCAAACAACCAGTTCTTTATTTAGCCTACCTTTGCATTGCAAACAAGCAGAGACGGTCCAAGGCGCGTGCGGCACTTCATGGGTGGAGTTATGATGTTTGGCCGGCAGTTTGATGATCCAATGAGTCATGAGGTTTAGTCACAAGCTCTTTTTATATACTTTTCATTGGTTAAATATTTGCAAGAACCCACAGACAGACGTAAATGGTAAACAATAGTAGCCCAATGATTTATAAAGGAATATATATATATATATATACTGTATATATAAGATGGTTTCTGCCTGAAAGCATTGTATGTAGTCAAATGTATAAAGTCGTTGTCTTACAGAGTTTTAGAGTGAAATAATAACAATCACACCACAACTTCATGGTTTATTTCATGGTTAGACTCAACGCAGCATCATTTGAATATATTTGTTCACCCAAAAATAAAAATCATATCATTATTTACTCTGTTTTTTTTCCATATTAAGTCAATAGTTACCCAAACTGTTTTGTTACTAGCAAAACAAAGTTTCTTCAAATGTCTTATTTTGTGTTCTGCAAAAGAAAGAATGCCATTCAGGTTTGGAACAACATGAAGATGAGTAAATTATGACAGAATTGTCATTTTTGGATGTACTGTCTCTTTAAGTAGCTTCTCTTCTCTCGTCTTGATAAGACACCACGGTTTTAGCCGTTAGGGGTCGACATCTCCTTAGGGATCATTCAATTGGATTGAAGTTTACTGTAGGTGAAAATCAACTCTAAGCAGGCCATTCCCACCTTTTCTTTCAACAGAGAAGCATTTGTGGACGTATGGCTGTTAATGCCATTCTCTCTTAAGATTCTCGGTTGGTTAAATATTCCTCTCAGGGTCTCAAGAACATTTGTGGTGTAAAATACAAAACAACGTGACCAGTTTGGTTAATACATGTTTAGTTTATATAATTTCAGATTCATAAAACAACAATAGCCTATCGTGATCTCTTTGGCAAATTAATGATCAAATGAATGCTGTTTTATGATTTAAAAAAATACCAGCTGTCTTTTGACTCTCAAGCACGCTCGCTTGCACGTGTGCATGTGGTTAGTTGTTAGTTGTTTACTTTTATCGCTTAGCTGTGATGCGGTTTTTCTGCAGAGAGGAATTCAGCACCACGCGAAGTGGACAGCGCCTCAACTTCAAGCCGCAGCCTGATACTTTTACAGATTGCAGTACACACATACTTTAGCAATTATTTAGCACAATATCCACAACACACAGACCAGGACTATCAAAACCAGCTTTTATTGGTAAAATGCAATTTAATCAAATGAAAAGTTCAGTTAGAATTTGCAGGATTTTGGCCTGCGGCTGGCGGAAGGCTCCGCTCTTGGCATTCACCGCGTGCCTTAATTGTAAGACATTAAATCAAGGTCCGCTGTGAACACGGAGAGCCAGAGTCTCAAATCACGCAAAGCTTGTCTAAAATATGCTACAAACCTCTCCATCATTTTAACCATTGCAAAGCAGTTGTATTACCATGAAATCCTTCGTTTATCCAGTCATTCATCGGCCTCTGGTTTTAGTGTCCCGGCGCGTATGACGGATTCACTATTAAATTAAATTAACACTATTAAATCAAACCCCCATCTCAGCGATCTTCTTTGCAACTGAAACCATTCCGTTAAGTGTTTAAACACAGCACAGATTTGATAAAAGCGAAGCGAATGTTCAAAAGGATTACTTAACCAACACATGATGAAATATGGCCATGAAATGTTGACAGCAAAGGGATAAGGCCTTCGTTATTTTTTTTTTTTTTTTTGTAGCTGCAAAATGACAGCCAGTCTGGGACAAAGGGGGAACATGGGGGGGGTTGACCATTTGATCTGCTTGAAAGGACCTCTGTGAAAAAGGGGGAAAAAAGCTTCAGGGGCTTCGACCACGTCCGTACGTACTCAAACACCTAGAAGAAGAAAACACAAAAAAAATACATATTAGACACATGATAGGCTTCCTGTTAAATGTGAAACAAAATAGTCAACCCTCGAATATACGTCAAAATAATTCGGATATATTCCAAGCAAAAATCGAGTTAAGCTAATACGCATGTTCGGGAAAAGATGCATCCAAAATGCGTTCGAAAAAGACGCATAACTGTATTCCATTCGCAAGGAACAAGCGACAAAAGCAACGTACTTCCCACAGCTCCTTCTGGGACTGAAGATGGGCTGAATATTCCCAATGTCCGTGCTGTTAAACGGTACCGGTCTCTCTCTGTCCAGTCTTTTCCCCATACCGACTGACTTTAGGATTAATGGCTCTCCAGCCAAACAAATAAGGCATCTGCTTTTAGCAGAAGAGGATTGCATGGGGGTGGTGACGTCACTGGGCAAACAGATGTTTGCGACCAACGTCCTGACCGTCTCCTTATGTCCTTGAGAGTAAAAGGAGCGCACGTTTGCTCTGACATAACCGCGCTTTTTGTTTCCTTTTAATAATTACTCCTCCTTTAGCCTTCCTCTGCTTACAAGACGCCTGTCACCATTGTCAATCGATCAGCATATAGGCCTATAGAACTAAGAGGGAAAATAATTAGCTATTGAGATTTTTAAGTTTGCCATCATCAGCATTTTCAATGCAGAAATCCTTATATGAATTTCTGAACGCTGTATTCGTGTATATAGATGAGATACGATTACTTTCGAGTTTTATCGGATAGTTTTGCTTGAAATACAAAGGCTTTTTTTACTCTATTAGATACAGGTACAGTTTGCTGCACCGTGTCCAATCTTTCTATGCATACATTAAAAAGAACCTGTCATTAGCAAACTTGCAGAGAATTTTCTCTAATCATATGGTGCAACAAACTCAAAGTCGAATAATCTCAGTCGAATTTGTATGCGCAGTAATCCGCATTCTGTTTACATCAGTGTCAATAGACCTCTAAAAACCTGTGTGCTGTTTTTAATTTGCAAGGATACTTTATGTCAGTGGTGTATGATCATGGGAATGATACCAAAAGAATACAGAAAATATTGACAATTAGCCTAAAGAACGCCATCGCTTTCCATACCAAGAGACCTCAACAGCCGTCATCTTTAGTACATGGTACTACGTGGGTTTTTATGTTCTATTTCGTGTTTTTTGTGTTGTATGTCACGCAGTTTCCTTTTAGTCATTAGTAGCTAAAAGCTTTAAGCTGTTTATTTATTTATTTTTTTTGCATATGATGGTCGAATGAATGGAATCGAGAAACAAAGGGAAACGCCATTTTTGATCAAAAATCTTTGTGCATTTCATTATAATTCGTGCATGTTTCTCGATCCTGGTCTTAAGCCCACGCGCTTCTGATTTATCAGTGTTTGTACTCTCATAATGAGCAGTAAAATATGACCTAGTTGACCCAGCGTCCATTAATCTATTGTCTGTGGGAATCAAGCGGACAAACAAAGCGAAACCAACACGTAACGAGTCCTCGTGCGTTTTGCGTGAAAAAAACGGATATCGTTTGCTATAAACGATTAATAAACCGTTAGAAGCATTCGCGTGCTTGTATTTTGCATGCGTTTTGTCCATTGCTCTGTAAAAATAATAGCAAGTGCAACGTGGGAAAAAGCTTCCCCGTTATTCCGATGATGCCGATCGCTAGCAAATGCAAACAATAAACTACATTTGGTCTAATATCAGACACGTTTAGCCTTCTCTTTATGCATGTGTTGCTTTATTTTGCATTCGTAATCCAACATATGTATCCTATAGCTGATATTCCACACTTACGCGCTCGCTCGCTCCACAGCCTCAGCAGGAGGTCGTTGGTTTTCCTTGCATTCATATCCATCATGTTTCACGAGGCTGTTTTCGCAATATAATGCGCATTTCGCGATTTAAAGACACTTAATTGTATTCCCGGGTTTCTGTCGATGTGTAGTTGGATGCCTCCGCGAAGCGACTTGCCCTATCTTGTAGTGAGTCAGGGGCTGGAGCCCCTGCAAAGCATGGCTGCGTTTTTCTCTTTTTTTCAAAAGAGGGCAGGTCGCTATGCATTATAATGAGTTAAATCTCTCTCCCTTTTTCGCTGTGCCCCTCGCACGCACACACACAGTTGCAAAATTAAAATTGCAATAGACCTATCAACAAAAACATCAAGATTTTGTATCATTGAAGTGCCAACCCGTTATTTCTAATGCATATAGGCTACATATCTACTGATATTACATTCATCAGTGCATTATATAAAACTCAATCTGATGTGTTGCCTGAGCCATAATCTCATTTTAGATTTTCTTGTGCACGTTGAATTGTTTTGTTAGTTTTTTTTAACGCAATTTGTCACGTTCAGTCCATTACGACGCCCCAGTTGTCCACGTTATAGCCTATGGAAGAATCGATGCTCAGTCGCATTGTATTTGTTACATTTTGTTGCTTCAAAGAATCATTTGGATAGGCAAATTACGTTTTATTCCACTGGAATCAGTTGCGCAACCGTAAGTTAGATAACTTAACTGGGAACAGCAGGCTCATTTATTTCAGTATTTATATATATATATAAATAAATATAGGCTATAAGAAGGTTAAATTCACAGCCAATCGGGATATTCAGGCTGTAGTGCACTATAGCCTATCCTCTGCTGTAACCTTGCCTACATACCCAAATGATAATTATATAATTTCTTCACGTGCTGTTATCATTATTGCACATAGAAAACCGAATCAGAATTTATCATGGAAATCTTAGCAATGTTTTTGTAAAAATTAAAAACACCAAATTTCGGTGCATATTAAGTATTTGCATATTACACATCTTAAATCGATTTGGTTTGATTTATAAAGATCCATTTGGCTTTTCAAGAGATGTTGCATTAATAATTAATCGAAGTATCCTGCCGTTGTCCACCACGTCAGTGGTTGTATTTCTTTTAGCATCGATACACAATGATTCAAACAGCAACAACGCAGAAATAGGCTATAAAACAGACAAAATGAGAATAACTTTACATAATCATGCCGTTTTGCTTTCGCACAGTAGGCTATTTGTCTCTTGATGCAATAGGTTACGGTTTAATGTAGACTTTATTTTTAGGAGGAGCTACAGAGAGTGTCTAAATTCATTTTTTTATCACGCTTGCTTTGTGATCATAACGTTTCTGTGTGCAATGGAGAATAGCTGGCAGGTAGATTTAATAACTTAATCAAATGGAACAAATAAAACTAAGAGATGATTAATATTCGATTAATAAGAAATTCATTTGCCTTTCCATTGTCAATCTAATCTTGCTACTGCTGCAACTTTAAAGGGAATTTTAAAGAGATTATTTTCCCTGGGAAAACGCCATTGTTCGTCCTGAAACAATGGGAGCTGCAGGCAACCGCAGTGAGGCGGCATGAATGGCGAAGCTCCGGGTCAGTGCATTGGGTCTCAGGCCCCAAAAGCCTTCTTTCCCCATGCACCACAATGACCCTGCGCGAGGTCGAGGCTCCGCGGGGTCACAGGGCATCACCTATTGTTCTGCACTTCAAAACAGATAAACATTTATAAATCAAGGCTGGCTAGAGGGCCCTGTTTCTCAGGAAAAAGTGGGGTAAAGTTGTACCTACGAGTGCTTTGGGCCAGAAGGACTTAAGATGTTGTGTATGAATAAGGGTAGCCTATATTAGAAGTCAATGATTATCTTTTCCAGGATGAAAGGACCTCAAATATTCGCTCTCAAGTAAGGCCTAATTTTTAGATGTTTACATACAATGTGCAGCTGATTGTTTCTGTGTTTTAACCGTGAGCACACGATGTTTTGCTGTTGGTTATTTTTCATAGAAGCCAGTGCTATCTGTCGTGTAAGGATACAAAAAAAGAAAAAAGAAAAAGAAAAAAAATAATACAATAGGAAACTAGCTTGACGATATGAATTAAGCCTTAAAGAGTTAAATAATAACTTTCTTTACAGGCCCAAAATCATTCTTAATAATCGTTTTGTTTATGCTAGTTTTTCGGCTCATGCTAATCTAACTTGTGTTTTGATGTCGCGTCGTTTTGATGTAATTGATGTAGTGTTGGCAATGCACAGACCATGAAACATTTTTGTTAAGATGAGTGGAAACCAGGCATTTAATAAATTAATTAAATTGTCAACTGGACGTCAGAACCACGTGGCTTTTCAACGAAATACGCTGAAATCAAAGTAACATTTAAGTGAACTTATGTTGCAGTGTAAGTGAAATGTACGTACTGTTTTATTGAGCTTGTAAATTAGTTTTCACAAGCACGTATTTCACAGCAATTCAAACCGTGTTCTGAACTCTATTTATACTTCAGTAGCCTACATTCATGCTAAATAATTGTTTGAATGATTATGCAACGTGGTTTGTGCATTCAAAATATTTAGTTGCGTTCATTTTTCTAAGCTTTCCGAAATGCAAATCGCACAATTTGATACCTAATTTAAATGTCTTTATATTTGTGCAAATTTAACATGCATAATTCTTATACGAGAAACAAATTGCATAACAATCAATTTCAAGACTGCGAATAGAAACTGCTGTGCTTCCGTCACAAATCAAACGCATTCTGGTTAGATGACAGGCATGATGGCTCAGCTGCCTGCAGCTATACAGACCGAGCTATCGTCTTATTCTGTGCGATTTAAAATAATAATAATATAGGCTATTTAAAGAGTTTTCCCCCTTTAAATCTCTTACATAGTACAAGGATTTTTATCTTTAAAGGCATATCTTCAGATAAACTATCTTGCTATATGGTAATTGATTTTGTGAGCTTGGGTCTTTATAAGCATGTAAATGCATACTTTTGAGGAGATCTGACCTTCTCGTACAATTGCATTTTGCAGTTTCAAATAACAGATATAGTGCTGTCTACATACTATAGTCAATCAAATGTCTACTTTTATTTAAATTAATATGTAGAAAGCTAATCACTTCATGATCTGTATTAGTTACTGCTGTGGAAGTATTATCAATTCAATGCCACATTTGGTTTGATTGTTTGTCATTTGCAATATACTGCATCTAAATCATCATTAGCGAAACTGAATCATTTTGATTTGTTTTAAGAGGAATGCAGTTAGCAGCAATGTTTATGTATATCAGACCTCTTCCACCCTGCTAATGTCCACTATGGATTTTAGTATCAGACCTCAGTGTTTGTATACTGTATCTGTGCTGAGCAAACTGCAGCGGATCAGTGATCGAATGATGTTTATGAAGTTCCTGTTTAGATTTGTGCTCCTCACCATCCACAATATGCTCTCAGCTGGATTGGGAGGGGGGTCTTCCTTTTTTCTGAATAACGGAAACGCTCCTCATCTATGTAAAATAATGTAACTAAGGTTTTTCTCTTCTCACCCACTGTGACCTAATTTAGTTGTTAATAAGCTTTTGAAACTCCTGATGAGTGTTGCTTATGCAGTGGACCCTTTTAGTGAGAGGAGTTGAGCCAGGTCAGGACGTATGAGCCAATCAGGATGCACTACAGGCCTATGAATTTTTTTTTTTTTTGCCCTTTAAGTATTTTGTACTGTGCACTTAGCACAAATATCATGGCGGAATCTGCGTTCATTGATAAAGCTCTTTATTTTATATTAAATAATCTTCATTAACACTTACTCGCATGCTAAGCATATGTGTGCACCATTCATATGCATGAACCATTGTCAGGTTCGAGCATCTAGCACCTTTGTTGTTTTCTTGGCAGGTCGAGAGAGCTCATGACTGTGTTTGGGCCTCTCATGTCTTACATCTTTTAGGGTCAAACATGCATGTTGAGGCATCTGATCTACTAGCCACTCTCACACTGAGCTGTTAAATGTCAGAAAGAACAGAGAATGAAGGCCATTACAGTCTGTTCTCAGGAGCCTCACTACTTTTATTTCCCTGCCAGCTTCAGTTTTTTTTTTTTTGACCGACAATTAACGAGAAGACGAGAAGAAATGAAACAGTAGTGCTCTGACTTGTGTGAACGCCCCCGTTGGTCACCTGTCCACACTTAACTCGCCTTGCAAAAATGAGCCATTGTTTATATTCAAGGGCTCAGTGAGTATGAGAAAATTGTATCAAATAATTTAAGCAATTATTTAAAGTTATGCAAGATTCAACTCATTTAAAGCCCGTTTAATGTAATTTAAGTTGAAATTACTTATCATCTAAGTTGATTGTACTTAAAATGTAGGCGGCACCTTTTTTTTACAGTGCATTCATTATAAAGGGCATACTGCCTACATTTATTGTTAGTAGGTGAAACAGTAGGCATTATTATATATATATATATATATATATACTGTATATATATATATATATATATATATATATTGCATATTAAAATGTTGGCCTTTTGGCCTCTTTGGCTGGAGATAGTCATTCATCATCTTGCACAGTACTAAGAGTAATACATTTAGATACTTTTGTATGCTATTCTGAACATAGTCTGCTAAAACATCATTAAACTGTATAATGCTGTAATATTTACATAACAATGTGGAATAGCCCTGACTGGTGTTGACCTTCTTAAAGGGATAGTTTCCCCAAAAATGAAAATAGTTATCATCATTGTCTCTGTGCTTTTTATCCATAGAGTGAAAGTCTGTTGTGTCTAATGGCGTCTGGAATATATTTCAAAGATCTTCAAGCATTGCGTTCCACAGAAGGACAAAGTCCTACAGGTTTTGAACAGTATGAGAGTGTGAGTGAATGAAGACAGAATTTTTATTTTTGGGTGAACTACACCTTTAAGGTTTCATCCATGTAAGGAACATTTTAAGAATATCTGCAATCTCATCTAATCTCCCTCAGCTCAACTACATCCAGATAAATAAATAAATAAATATCCATGTATCTAGCAAATAATCAAAGATACAAGGCAGCATGGGAATATCTAATAATCTGTCATTTTATTACAATGCATCTCTGTGATGTCACCTGCAAAGTGACAGATAAATCAGCACCCCAAATAACAGTTATTATGCTTTCTCTGTTTGTGTGGAGTTTCTTGTATGGTTGA